TCTGAGATTTTCATCGATGAACCCTTTGTAAACAGGTCCAAACCCACCCTCACCGAGATGATTACTTTTGGAGAACATATGAGTTACCAGTTCGAGCTCCTTGAGGGTAAACACATGAAGGCTTACAAGAGAATTGGACAGATCACTCAGTAACAGTGGAGAGTCACAGTGGCTAATATCAGAGAGTGATAGCCTTTGGCTAGAACATCGTTTCGAAGGATGAACTTTTGGCCTTGAGGATGAAACTTGGGGTTTGATGCAAATCGGGAGGATGTTTTTCCAAGACAAATACCTTTTGAGCTTCATTTTTTATTGAAAGTTGTTTCTTTTCGTGTGTGTTAGGTTCCCAGTTGATCCTCAAAGGGGGTTTAAATAAGGCTGAGCAGGAAAGGAATAAAAAATGTGATTGTATCAAAAGATGGATGACCAGACCATAACCAACACCTCTTGTTTGATCCCAGAATTCTCAATATTCTCTCCCAAGCCTCGTTGCATTTAAATAATGAATTCCGGAAATCAAAGTCTCCATACTGACCAGAAAGTGGATTGACTTTGGGCCCTGCAGCCTAAAGACTAGGCGAAAAGGATAATGCATCAGCAGAAAAGCTATTCGATGGTTCATATTATTAAGAGACAGAAAATAACGTCATCAATCGGTGTGTTTGTTTTTAGTCATATGCATGAATTTAAGGTTCTATGTAGTTTCATAGCTGGTTTCTTGGAGGCTGCAATCTGAATCGGCTGATCATTGAGAACAGTTATGATTTCATTTGGCTACTGGCTCTTCTCCGCAGGTTCCTGTATCGCTTTTGTGGGTGGAAGTGTGGGACAGATTCGACACAATACGAAAGTTGCATTATTTCCTAAGTCAAATTAATCTTTGGAGTTTTCAGTCTTTTCACACTAAATAATTTGCTCCACAAACCCTGATCTGTGTCACCTTCTTCTTGCTTATAACCAGAATACAGTTCGATATATTAATGAAACCGGGTAAAAAAAAAGGGCAAATGTCAAAAACCAGTGGTTTGTTCAAAGTATTGGATAAGATGGTTATATTAGATTAAGGTGACGCATCAAAAGTCAGGGAAGACTTTTTTAATTCCTGCAATTTGTATATAAAATAGGGATATAAACGTCTTGATCAACCACCTAATAACCTACCTAAACAGTTGGAGTTTTATATGAAAAACCATCGACGAGCAGGTGTTAAAATCCAAAACATGCGGCTCAAACTAAATAACTGCAGTGGTATATCGAAAACAAGCCCGCTGTTTAAATAACCAGGTTACTAGCTGGCCACATATAATATATGTACATACTAATCAAAATCTTATTAAATTATAGGCTCTCCTGCTTCACTTTCTCCATTGTTTGTTTCTTAAATTGGTCAGGTTGTATGTATATTTCAGCACCATGCTCATCGATGTATGGCCGGTATAGATTTCAGTACAATGTCTTGACAATATGAACGGGGACGCATGACGATCTCTACCACCAGTTCCTGTTATGTTACTATCATGGCTGAGAAAAGTCTCCCAGGTCTCTGTTCTTCCTTACAATTTTTGTGGAATGTTGAAATGTTCACAACTGCAAGCATGTGAAGTATTATTCAAGCACACCAAGCCCTTCTTTTTTCTATGTATCACGAGGGGAGACTGTAGCACTGAGGATGAAATGACCATTGACTGCCTTTTGGTTTCTTTAGATTTGTTTTAACTTTTTACCCTTTTTATCGAGTCTTTGTTATTATTGCAACAAAAGCACATTTAGACTTATGGCCAACTTTGGGGCCGTTGCGCGTAATTGAATCATTCATTGGATTTGGGAGGTATTTCCAGGAATATTATTAGGGAAAATAATCATATTCTTTTAATTAACTACTAGATCTAATTTATTGATTAATTAATTTAGATCAGATTTGGTAAAAGTTTATTATGAGGTAAGCTCTCAATTCAATTTGCTCTATTCACAATCGTTAGGATCAAACCCTTGACCGGGTTTAGTACTTAAACTATTAGTTTTGGTCCGTTTTATTACATAAACTTTTATTTTTTTCAAAATCATACCTAACATTTAGTTTTTGTTTCATTTTAGTACCCATCTTTAAAAACTTAACGCGTTTAGCACCTGAACTATTAGTTTTGGCCCGTTTTAGTATCTAAACTTTTATTTTTTTTCAAAATTTAAGTATGATTTAGGTACTAAACGTGTTTTGGTATCTAAACTTTCAATTTTTCAACACTTAAGTTTGGGTACTAAAAATGAAACAAAAACTAAACTTTAGGTATGATTTTTAAAAAATTAAAAGTTCAGGTACTAAAACAGATTAAAACTAATAGTTTAGGTATTAAATGTGTAGTTTACCCTAATTACAAACATGTTATATATACACTATTGCTAAGTTTGTGATTGAGTTTTAAGTACTCTTGATTAATACTATGTATATTCATTTTCTCATATTTTTAAATAAAATAAATAGAACTAATTTATTGACGTATCGAATTTATATCCAATAAGTTTATATATAATTTTTTTTATTATTCAATTTATTGTCATTGCTGAATTAATTTATTGGTCAATTGATGCATACTTTGAAGCATGTAGGAGAGCCCAAAAAAACATAGTAATAAAACAAAAACTTGATGTTTTAGGTATTAAGTCGGATCGTTCTTTGTTGTTTCTCAAAATAATTTTGAATATATCTCTGATCACATTTGATTATAAATTAGCTTTACTCTTATACATAATGATGTGTACTAAAAATTAATTAAATTCTGATTTTTATATGTTGTGAGCAAGTCATTGATGGGTGTGGTCGTAGACAACAATTACGACTGTTTAGTCTGCCTTTTTTGGCTGTGTAGTCAACCTGAAATTTGCGAGGTTGAAATGCCACATGCCTTGGCTGGCGAGGCCTCCAACCCAATCCATATATGAATGGCGCACTAAAACCTTAATGATTTTGATTTTTGACAATCGATGCTTGACGATTTCGTATGAAGTCAAAATTAAAAGCTGTTTCATTGTAATAATAATAAAACACACACCTTAAATTATCGGGGTGATTTAAATCATATTTCTCGACAGTGATATGTCGACCCGACATATTAATTTTAGGACATTTCATACCTAAGAAGCCAACAAATAAAGTACATTTCTTAATTATCTGAAACAGAATACGAAAGATATATATAATTTCAGGGTAAACTAATAAATCAGCATCATGTTTGATTAACACGTTCACATTTTCCACTTTCATGTCGGCAAGATTTGATCAATGATCCCACAAAATATGAAACACTGTTGATTGCTTAGACCTGGATGCAGTGCTCGATCATGGTACTTGATACCATGAACAAGACCAAATCTATTTGTTGAACCTTTTAGAGTTTGGTCTGAATATTTATGTTTCATGAATGTTGCAGATGTCGGTGCAAGAGTTTGGCCTCCCTGTTTCCAGTGCTGGGCCTTCAGCTAGTAGCAATAGTATGGTTGCCTCAAGAACTTGACCCTGTTCTGATTGTTTCTTTATAAACCCAAAAATGAAAAAAAAAATGCTTATTTTTTCCTTTGTACATTATCGTTTCCCCCAAAAGTTGTTTCAACAAAGAATATAGCATTTGATCTGTCAACCTTTTCCCCCACCGATGCAATTGTATGTTGGATTTTCATAATCCCACAAAAGATTCGCTGTTAAAACATGGATTATCTGTCTCAATGTAAAAACATAACATACTTGTGGAGCGTTGGTGTTAAAACATGAATTAGGTGTCAATGACACCAGATGACCATGACCCCGACAAGTGTGATTAATAACTTGATAAATTAAACGGCCTTATCATGTCCAGAGAAGCAATGGAGCAAAAGCAGAGTATGAAATTGGACGACTGGTTACTTATTTGTTGTCATCAATCAACTAAAGATAATCTAGTATTTTCACAACACAACAGCTCATCCCTGCTAATACTTGGCCCTAAAAGATATGCTTAAACTATTTTTAAAGCAAACCCTCCCATCCTGGAAACCTGATGGTATCTAGGAAAGTTCAGGTTCTTCTCTTATGGAGTTTGTTCTCCAAATTTACGTTGTCATTGGCCACCTTTATAGGTTAAACCACTCTACTGGCTACTTTGAAGGCCAATCAAATCACCAAACGAAATAAGAGTTAGTCCTTCCAAATTCGTTCAATCCACAAAACCCGCAAATGTAACAGAAGAAGCCAACCAAGATTTGTGTCAGACTTGCTTATAACTCTTTAATTAAACAAAAAAAGATTAATTTCTTACATTAACACATCTTAAAGGAAAAGAGAAGTGTAGTTTCAGCTTTCAATAACATCAAAACTAACATAGTTAATAATCAAGCTTCAACGTAGACCTAGAAGACCACCAACAAGAATGGATATAGCAGATTTGCCTGTTTGATTGGGACAAGTGACAACCAAAATGTAATAGCTCTATTCTAGGTATGTTGCAGATTTCTTGATGAATTTTTATAAGGAATCAATGAAAACAATTCAACTTCATGAATAGTCTGCAACTTAACAACCTTCAGAAAATTCCAATGCCAAAAGTATCTCTCAAACTCATCACCTAATTTCCCACAAAAAGAGAAAGCAACACAAATTCTAAAATCGGTAACAATTACGCAGTCTAGTTATCGAAGGTCTAGCGTTCATATAATCCCAATAGCAGACGCATTGATGCAACTAAACCAATAGGTTTTGCATCACACAAACACATAATCATGTTGCCAATGATACAAGAAGCATTCTTCTTAGAATTATAGGGGAAAAGCAAAGTACAAAATATATAAATCTGAAAGAAAATGTTCATCGAATCCACTATATCCCTTCCATGATGTTTAATATTGTTAGAGCACCCAGATAAGTTAGAAGAAATATCTAAACAACGCTTGAGGAAAAAGTTGAAGTTTTTTCTTCTATGCAGAATAACAATCCTCTATGCAGAATAACAATCCGAGTAGACAGAAACCGGGGAAAGAATTAACAGACAAAACAGCAACAAAATTTAAACAAGCAAAAATGGTAAATAAAAGAACTACCCATTTACAGAAGATCTCAGCAAGGACCCATATCTGCAATATTCGTGATCCCTTTCTCAGCTCATCGGATGATTTCTTTTTTCTTTTTCAAACCAATAAAAGAACTCCCTAAAAATGAATCAAATTGCCAATGTAACCCAAAATCTTAGCGGATATTTCATGAAGAAGAAGAACAAGTCTCGTACTTGCCATTGACTTTCAACAGCTGCCTTCTCTTCAAAACCAAGAACCCAGCAACACCAAACTGCAAGATGATAGCAATGCCGATGAACAAAAGCCCAAGCTTTTGCCCCGTATTGACCTTGTGATTATGTGAATGTTGTGGTGGCCGCCGCCACCAATGATGATTGCTTCGTTTCTGGTGATGCTCTGCCGCCGGCGGTGGTGGCGGAGAAGGCGGGGGTGGCGGCGAAGATGGAGGAGGAGGAGGAATTGGTGGGGGTGGGGGCAGTGGCGGTGGCGGTGGTGTAATAGGAGGAGGAGGAGGAGGTGGCGGACTTCTGTTAGATGATTGTGATTCAACAAAATATGGAAACACTGTAAAGAAAAGGCCGAAACTTAAGAGCACCGATGATAATAATGGCGGTTCCATAATAACAAAAAAGCGAAGCAAACACGCAGAATCGGCTCAATATCAAGGATTTTGCTGCATTCTAACTTCTAGGCATGAAGCCAAATTCTTGTATTTTCTTCTTCAGCTTTTATTGTTAGACTTACAATCAGTGTTTTAAATAGTATTTACTGTCACGTTTTATATCGTGTCGTGTTTATTAAGGTTGTGAAAATAATAGATATTATTGTGGTTTCTGCGAATATCACAGTCGTAATTTTTTTAAAATATCGTACAATTTACTTTAAAATGATTAAATTAAATATAATTAAAATAAATTGTAAAATTTAAATTATATGAATTTAAATTACTAAAATTAAAACTAAATTAAATAAAAAATAAAATTTACATTTTAAAATAAAAATTAAATTCTAAATTCTAAAAATAGAAGGATCTCAATTAATATATCATTTAAAATTATATTTTAAAAATTATTAAAAATAATAATAATAAATCACCCCTCTCCCTTCTCCGACTTTCTGCCTCCCTTTCCTACCTTTCTGGATTTGGCTTTTCTCCCCTCCCACCCAATTAATTGTCTGAAACAAAACTGCCTCCCCTTTCTCCTTCCCTTCCTCCTCCCACGCCTTCTACCTCCCCCTTCCTCCTCTCCATCATTGTCTGGGAAAAAAAACTGTGCCACCAATGATTTTGTTTTGGAATCACGGTTGTTACATCCCGTTATCGGCATAATCGTATATTTTTCGTTAAATTACGAACGCAATCGATCGAAATTAGTGTAAATTCGTGACACACCGTAAAAATCATGAAAATCGATTTCGGACAGTGACGTGATAACGATATCACGGCCGCTATCACATTTTCAAAACGCTATTTGATACCGTACTTACAACATTAGCTGGATTCTTGCATCTCTTGTTTTCTTTGAGAAATCAAGCAAATCGATATCTTTCAAATACTTGACGTACTCAACTTCTGCTTCTCCAATTCATTTTTTTTTGTGCAAAGGTCAAGAATTTAGGCTTGCAGAAATCTAGGGTTCGACCTAAGAAAGTGATGTCTGATTGAATATGGGTATTTGTGATTCCTTCCCCCTGTTTCTAAGAGATCTATGAAATGAATAAAAAAAATGGGTGTTTTCTCAATGTTTGTCTTCTTCTTTTGGGAAGACTTATAGAAAACAGGGGAGGGGAAGATTTGGGCATAGAAAATTTAAGGTTTTTTCAAGGATAATACTATTGAATTTCTGAAGAAAAAAATACTAAAAAAAATTAAATACAACTAATAAAGGGATGGATGGGTTAAATTCTATATAAGTATTTATATTATGTTTACAAAATTATTTAAATTCTATTATAAAAAATATTTTATATTATAATTACAATTTTATTTTAATCTTCCTACTGTAAAAAATATTTTATTTTTTATATGTTTGAAAAGTTAATATTTTGATAAAAATATAAAAATTATTATTAGTTGATTTAAATATTTTGGTTTAAATACTCTTCAAGTCCTTCTCAAATTTAAACTCAAATAAATTAATTTATCTCAAAATACTTTTTATGTATTTTATATATTTTTTAAATACTTATAAAGTATAAATATAATAGTAATTCATCTCTAATTCCAAACTTCGATATTATCACTTACAGTAAGATTATAATTACAAGTAAAAACATAATAAATATTTAAAATGTTTAATTATAAATAGTGTACATTGAATTTTCTTAAAATTGTTAGATTTGATATGAGAGTAAGATTTCAAAATGAATATTGAATAAATTATTTTATTTTGAAGGGAAATCATTTTACTTAATTTTAAATATATCAATTTTAAAATATTTAAACCAAAATATTTAAAATAATTAATTATAATTTTAAAATTGTAGATTAAAAAATTAACTATACAAGCCTAAAATATTTCTTTTTATAATAGTGTAATTAAAATTAAGTATAATATAAAGATTAAAATATTCTTTCTTATATTAGATGAACTAAAATAAACTTTTAAATATAATACAATTTTTTTAATAATTTAGATCGGTCGAGTTATTATTTATATATATATTATCTTTTAAAATGTCATGATATTAATTTTATATTGATTTATATCAAAATATTTGAGTATTATATTAATTTTTTAAATTGTTCCAACAACCATTTTTAGGTGAAAAAGCATCATCCTATGATTTGTTTTAAAAATGGCTTTAAAAAAAAGATATTTACACATTTTAATAAATTTTAGTTGACGTTATTATTATTGCATATAATATTTACTTTATTTAGATAATTTAAAATTAAAAATTAAAAAACACATTTAAATATATTCAAATTTATATTATGTATGAATTATTTAGTGACCTAAGTTATAAAAAGAAATATTTTTTTTAAATCTAGAGGATTCGAACAACTACATTTACAGATGTATATAAATAAATATTATTTTATAATCATTTTAGATTATTAAAAAATAATAATCATGTCAATTTAACTAATATCATTACAGTCTCAGAGTGGATTAAGTCTAATTTTCAGTCATGCCTATGATTAGAGGTTTATTTTAATATATAGGTTTACAAATAATTTAAAATTTTTAAAAGATTGATGTAGTAAACTATAGATGGAAAATAACATCAAAGAAAAGCATGCTAATAACTGAACGAAGGTTGCTAAGTCCAACTACTAACCAGTCATATTTATTCTTTATGCACACCACTAACTTTAATCAAACAAAATTAGACTTAATCCATAAATTGTATTCACCTCCTACTTGTCTATCCATATGTATAACCCATTGTCATAAATTTAGCAACAAACTTGCATATGGATGGCAATGGCATGGGGAGATGCCTGCCGATTACCATCTCATACCCATCTAACTTTCACACTGTTTTTCTTAACCCAATGCCCAATGCCATCTTTTCATAGTTTTTTTTTTTGCCTCCTAAAAGCGCACTATGCATGTATATATCTTGTAATCTGCAGCCTTTTGCAGCAATGTGCAGGCTTTTGTACAAACTTTACACCATTTTCATTGCTCAATCATCAAAATTCAAATCCATTACTGCTGTCCTTTTCATGATGTCTGCAATCCGCAGCTATTTCAACACTTTGTATCTTTCAAATATGTATTATATATACGTGTAGTTAAGTGGTAGTTGAGGTTCTTCTTACACACAAAGAAGAGTAGATAACACGGTGAGCCACATACAATCTCCTATTCTTTTCTGATTATATATAGCCATCACTGGAACGAAAGAAGCTCTATACAAGCTCCGATCGGCCCTAAGAGATCAGAGTTCAACAAGGGAGCATGGTCGACGGCTGAAGAAGATAGAAGATTGGCTGAAGTTATAGCAGTTCATGGTGCTAGAAAGTGGAGGACAATTGCAAACATAGCAGGTAGCCACTAAGTAAATTAATATCATCATATGGGTTTATGTAGGTGTTTGATTTTTTCAATTTTTTTCTTTTCTTTGGTGTAGGTTTAAATAGGTGTGGCAAAAGTTGCAGGCTGAGATGGATGAATTATCTTAGGCCTAACATCAAGAGAGGAAATATAACAGACCAAGAAGAGGACTTGATACATAGGCTTCATAAACTCCTCGGAAACAGGTTAATTTCATTTCGATGAATCTTGCAGTATTATCTTCCAAAGTTGATTATTAATGGTTACTTTTTCATTATGCAGGTGGTCTTTGCTAGCAGGGAGATTACCAGGGAGAACTGATAACGAGATCAAGAACTACTGGAATTCTCATTTGAGCAAGAAAGTGAACCAGAACGAGAAACAAAGTGGAGCTTTGGCAAGACAAGGCTGCAAAGCTCAAAAGAGACTAGTGGAGAATGCCAAAGAACAGGGTAGAGAAGAAAATACATCTGCCGGCTGTGAGGACTCGAATATCGACTTCGATGTGGACGAGTTCTTCAATTTCTCCAACGAGGACACCCGCAACTTGGAGTGGGTGAGCAGATTTCTCCAAGTTGACGAGGGCTTTAACTGAAACTTCATGGAACGGCAGTAACTTTTGTTTTTCGGTTTTTTTTTATTTCCTATGATCATGATTCGTGAATTTGATGCAATCCGTGTTGATCTGTAAAACCTTGTTATCCGTCGATGAATAGGGCAGGATTCAGGTAATTCTGTCAGCTATATATCCTAGTAGCTGAAATAGTGACATTATAGCGCAGACGCTCGTGATTGGTGTTAGTCAGCTATATATCCTAGTTGCTGAAATAGTGACATTACAGCGCAGACGCTCGTGATTGGTGTTAGTCAGTACATCAAAAAGTAAGTAAAACAAAACTGGAGAAAACAGAAAGGAAAAGACAAGAACTGAGAAGTATATTAGTAATCGAGGAATACAAGAAAACAACTATAAGCATATATATATATATATATCGTAGTTTTTTTGGACAATTGTTTCCGGAAGGCCATAGAGAAAAAGATTCTTTCTTAAAATTGGTTGCAAAGTTAGGAAAAGAGTGAATAAAAGTGAAAAGGATCCGTCATATTAACCTGATGAGACAAGAGTTGATGGAAGTTAATAACTTCTACCTAGAAGTTCCGATTGAATCCGTATCTTAATCATATCCTAGTGAACTTCCTTTATATTCTCATGTGAAAATTGAAAGCTAGATTATGAGGTGAAGAGACTAGCAGCGTATGTAAAGTGGGATTTGTACACTCTTATCTGTTGATATCTGATGAAACATCAAATGAGCATAGAACAAACAAGCCAATAAAAAGAGCTAAACAAAATGAGCTTTTGACAATGACGAATAGTGTATCGTCGCCTGGCAACTTTTCCATATTCCCCCACTAGCCTTCATTTGTCATCTGAATTAGAATCTCACTCGTAAGCTAACCCTGGCACTCGCAGCTTTTTGTCATTTAACAGTGTCTTTGTTGAGTTTTGGGTGCGCGAATCTGAATTCACATGGAAGAGACAAAGTGATGAGATGGAGTTGAGTAATTTTCAGAAGATTGGAATGGAAAAAATTGGACAATGATTTCCCACCACACCACCACGGTTTAAGTCGCCGCAGGACTGCTTCTTTCCGGACATTTTAAGGCTATTTATGTACCGATCTTGCACAACCGCGCCCCAAAACAACCCCCCCCCCCAATATTGACCCTAAATTTTTATATCTAAGCCCAGACCTGTTAGCACTCTTAAACCTTTTTTGTCATCACTTTTTTTATTTACGTATTAATACTTTTAATATTTTAAATACAAATAATAACAGTTTTGAGCTGAACAGACTCGACATCAGCTTGAAAATCTAAGCTCTGTAAATTTAAGAGAAGCATGTTTATGTAATATACATATGAAATAAAAATGATACAAGATATAAATACAATACATATATACCCCGCACGAACGAAGCGAAGACAATTATTAAGAGATTTATTGTTATTTTTTAAAATTTTAAATTCAAACACCATGTATGTAGAAATATAAACATTAATTATCAAAAGATACAACATTTTTGAATAAATAATATCTTATATCCTTCCTACATTTATAAAAAAAATACACTCTAAATTTTATATATAATATGAATTAAGAATGTTTGAATATCAATATATATTTTCATTAAAGTTTATTATAATAAACATTTTATATGATAATATTTTTTAAACTAATTTTATACTATGCTTTTATTTAAAAGTGAACAAAATTTGATTAATTAAATTATTTAAAATTTTTATTTTAAATCAAATAAAGTTTTGCATCTCGAATAAATTGAATATCAAATGCTAGCACGTGTTAACTCCCTGCAAAATTTGAAATTTGAATACCAAATGCTAACACGTATTAACTTTCTGCAAAAATTTTAAAAAGTACAAATTGAAATTAAAAAATAAAATTATATAAATACTATTTTTTTTATATAAAATATGTTAAATTATATAACTCATTAAGATGGTAATTTGTTTTTTTTGTCAACACAATCCAACAATGTCCCCGGAAAAATGGCCCAAATAATCCATTTTAGATTAATTAATTACTCAAATAATACACCCCAGAGATTATTTTTCCATATGGGGTGAAGTCTACAGTATCGAGCCAAATACTCCAAGCTTACCTTGTAACATCCTCAATATCAGGCTAGTGATCTAAAGGTGAATTTTGGAAGCATTGTGTTCAACTTCGAAATAAGTTAAAAGTTCATAATTTTAATTGGAGAATTTTGAGGTTGGATTTAATAGTAAAGTTTGAAAGTAATAAGGGTATTATGGTCTTTTCTAAGAGAAGATTTTTATTTCTCTTTTAGGGGATATAAAAACGTGGGAAATGAGGGAAATGAGTTTTAAGAGTTTTCTTCTTCTCATTTCTTCTTCACGCGTGGAAGCCAAGAGCAAAGGTGAGAATTTTTATTAGTTGATTATTATTTGAATTCTAAGTTGGTTTTGATTCCTTGGAAAGTAAGAAAGCTTAAAGAAGTCTAAAGATAAGTGAAAACTCAAAGATGAAGAGGTTAGAAGAGATTAAAGAAAATGGGTTTTTAAGTGAAATTTTGAATAAGAAGGTTTAAATGAATTTGGAGGATGAATTTGACTTATCATCTATAAGAATAAGAAGTTAGAAGTGTTAGAATTAAGTTTGGATAACATGGAAAATTGGGTATGATTATTGATTTCCATATGAAAGATGGAATTTAGAGGTTAAAGATGAGATAAATGAATATTAATGAGTTTAAGTATGTATATGTAAGTTAGGAATATGAAAGGGGTTGAAATATGAAGGATTTAATAAAAAAAGAATGAATTTTCGGGTTCAAAAAGAGGATTCTGGGCAGAGTGCATCGATGCATATTCATAGTGCACCGATGCTGTAACATCCCAAAATACGGGTTAGTGACTAAATTGTAAAATTTCAGAGTTTGGTGATTTAAGTAGGATATTTGTACAGTCCAATGATTTGTTCGGAAATATTTCCTGAAAGTTATTAGTAATTATCAAAGGAATTAAAGGGCAAAATGGTCATTTAGCATGAAAGATATTTTTATCTCTTTATTAAGAGATAAATGTGAGTTGGGGAAAGAGTTTATGAAAACTATTTCTTCTTCTTTTCTTCTTCTCCAACGTGCAGGGCAAAGGTAAGGTTTTCTAAATTGTTGGTTATTTGTTAAATTAAAGATTATGTTTTGATCATTAGATGATAACTAAGCTTAAGGAAAGCTTAAGTTGTCTTATAATCAAAAGATGAAGAAGTTATAAGAGATTAAAGAAAATGAGTTTTTATATGAAATCATGGAAAAGAGTTGATAAGTTGAATTTAAAGTTAAATTTGACTTGTCATCATCCTAATTAAGGAATATGAAGTGTTAGAATTGTATTTAGAACATACTGAAATTTGAGTATGATTCTTGAATTTCATATGAAGGATAGGACTTTGAAGTTATAGATGATTTTCATGGATATAAGTTGGTTTAAGTGATTGTAGTTGAATTTAATGACATGATAGGGGTTTAAAATAGAAGAATTAAGTGAAGAATTGATGATTTTTGGGGTTAAAATACCAATTCTGGTTAGAGGGAACCGATACCCTATGAAGGGAATCGATTCCCCCCTAAAGGAAAAATGAAATTAGGTTCAATAATCTGGCTTAAGTTGTTAACATCAAGTTTAAGGTTTAGGCTTCTGATAGTTGTTTTGAAATGTTATATTTATGTAGATATTGAGCCTAAACAAGTTCTGGAATAATCAAAGGATTAGAATTGATTCAAATCAAACAAGGCTAAGGTGAGTGCAATTTTTATTGTACTTATATTATTGAACGAACATTGGCTTGCGATGAGCCAGTGATGGAGTTACTACGGTAAGAAGTGACTCCTAAATTGTTATTTGATTTCATGATTTTTATATGTGCATGAATACATGAAATGTGTATAGATTATTATAAATGTTACATGATATACATGCATACAGGATTATGCTATGAGACATGACCATGTGAAATGAGAAAAACTATGTGAATATATGAAATGACATATGAATATGCAAAATGTGATATGATATGAAATACATGGTTACACATACATGTTGTATGTGACAGAAGAGAAAGAACAAGTGATGAGAAATGTATTCATCATAAATGCCCATAGTATATGATACGAGAGCTATAGGTATAGTTGGCATGCCAAGAGTCGAGGGTTCTGTAGTCCTTCGGGACGTAGTCCTTCGGGACGTAGTGGTCCTACGGGACATATATAGCAGTCCTTCGGGACGAATACTGAACTAATGTTCGGTGCCCCATGAGGGAATTTATACGAGCTGTGGTGACAGCATTTGTGCACAACCTCAATGAACTCACATACCTCTATTCTCAATAATATACATGGGAAATACAATTGAAAGATAAATTAAAGTGAAAGTGGCACAAGAAGGTAAGTGTTACATGTGCTTGACATGCTTATATATGTTATCATGTGATAGATACATGCATGTTGAAATGTCATGATCAAATGATAAGAATGCACATTCATGAATTTGTTGTTAAATGTTTATTTATTGCCTCACTAAGTCTATGACTTAGCGTGTAAGTGATTTACACGTAGGTACCAACAAACGTGAAGAGCAAGAATAGAAGTAGCAAGGACAATATTATTACTTGAAGATTATATCAGAAGTAATCAACAAGTATGTATTTTGGCGTGTATAGAGTGTTGGCATGTAATAAGTCGTTAATTATGAATACTCTGATCAAACTTGTATTTTGTGGTCTCTCTGATGTAAATTAAAGTATTTTGTTTTAAACAAAGTTTTAAATTACCCAGGGTATTTTCTTTAAGTGTCCAGATTTGAAAAGTCAATGTGACACCTCGGACTCGTATTCGGGTCGGGTACGGGTTGGGGTGTTACAGTTAATGGCATCAGAGCTAAGGTTTAGTCGATTCTCGGCATAAACCGGAGTCTTGAGTGTTTTATAAAGTATACATGCCAACAATATAGTGAAAACTTCTGATCTGATGGAATAGTAAGTATGATGTTGTGCTAATAGAACTATATGATTGTATTTTTATAGATGTCCGGACAAGGTAGTTCTAGAAATGAAGTGGGAGATGATATACCCGCTGAAAGCAGTAATTCACCTGCCCTGGCCAGGCAGAGT